TGACAGACAAAAGTTATATTCGGCCCAGAGGAATTATCTATTAACCGCACGACCACTGATGACTGGAAGAACTTTCTCCGCGAAGTTTGCTCCTGGCGGCTTTTACAGCCTCCAACAGTTATCGGCGGCCCAGGTCTACACGTCGAGATCGATGAAAGGCTGATACCTCACCTTAAATCTACGCAGGACGAGTCCTTCCCCAGCAGTGGATTTTTAGAGGGATCTGCCAAGAAACTAAAGAGGTGTTCAGGTATGCACTGCCAGATCGAACTGCGGCCACTTTGATGGATATAATCCAGGCCTGCATAGCTACCGGCTCAATCATCATCTCCAATATGTGTACAAATTCCATGTCCTCTTGTCCAATCTTTTTGGGGTGGCGAGGGTTAATTCTTTGGCTGGGCTTATCTGGAAAAGATCCGTGGAATCAATCTATGCTAACTTATCGAGAGGCACTGTGTATAGCTGTTTCATCTTTGTTGGAGTTCATCAGTAGTGCACATCTCACGAAATTACAAAGTCTGGAACTTGCAATCCCCTGGCTGGTAGTTTGAACATTCACCTTCGTGGACAAGCAGTTCAGGGCACCGCTCACTCTTCATTCGCCGGATAGACACTGGCTCCTCGAGCAACAGCCGATTAGTTGACTGGTATAGTTTAATGCTAAAAACAACACCAAATTTTCCGGTATAACCTAAGCTCCTCTGCGCTGATCAAATGCGAAATCCGCAATTTTCAGAACGGACATTCGCATACGACCACTAAGGATTAAAAGTACAACCAACTGAGTGATCTAGTACACAAATTCCGGTGTAACATGCACAGGAATGCTGCTCAATATCTCAGTCTGACTTCTTTTCTTGTTCTCATCATCATCATTGTCAGCTGTAAGAACCGCGTGCTTGTCGTACAGTGGTCGTTACTGCTGCAGTTTCGTCCACCGATGATTTGTGTGGTGGGGTAGGTAGCTGCGCATTACAGGCAGGAGCTGATAAATTGGTACGTAAATACAGCACTGTAGGTGTACTGTTAGGTGGGGGGTTGGGAATTAAGCTATGCATTGAAGGCAATAGCTTGGATACACGAGCGCCATTGAGGGCGCGACTGGACCATGTCTGACAATGTCTCTAGCCATTGATGTGGCCCGTCTCGGGGTCCCCATCCAGGAAGACTGCAATGACCAGCGCAACTGAGTTTGCTGGTAACAGCTTTTACACTTCACGGCCAAGTCATTGTTTGACCGCCTCTGACTCTCTTTTACCCTTCACGTGATTGTGCGAAATGAGCACTTCCAGAAAGTCGGTCGACTGACATACGCAGCACGTGGCCAAGCCGGCGCAACCTATGCAGTGTGATCAGTTCAGCTATCGAGGTTGAGTTACTTCTTCCGAATACCATTCGACGAACTTCAGTATTGCTGATCCGGTATTCCCACCAGATCCGTGCAATGCTCCGAAGACCTCGATGGTCAAACACTAAAAGTCTTGACGTCCTTGTTCTAGCTCGCTTGCTTTTTTCATAGTGCACACATCAGACTTCAAAGTAACACCAGTCGACGGACACCAAACGGGGGACTCTAATTTAATCGATTTTCGAGTTCAGCCACATGCACCCACATATTGACAAACAAGGGAGCTGCGTACGACAAGCTCTTCAGGTTGTGAAATTCACCCAAAAATGACCGTTGTGGGTTAGGAAGTAACAAATTTATAGTCACAGAAGCGTTTCGTATCATCTAGTCGGCCTGTCCGTCAAGCTTGACAGTTTTATTGAGAACTAGTCTAGATGGCATCGTCAGCGCGAATTGGCACAGATGATGTCATCCCGATTGGTGGTCAAGAGTTTGCAGTCCAACTGCAACCGGAGGGCCCGTGGTTCTAACCCGACCTCTGTCTCTCGAATTCTTCTGTCTAGGCTTGGGCAACCTGGCAGTATCCCAGCCCTCGTGCCTCTTTCGTGTGGCATGACGGTTAGACACCGAAAGGGTGCTACAACCGAACGATCCAATTGACCAGTTGAGTAAACAGATCAACAACCAAGTGGGGCACCAATACTACCTACTATATCCTGCAATCTCGATGGCCGAAATTATTGTTCAGACATGTAGGCTACACATCATAATGTTGGAAACACGATTAGGTTTCTCCGGAATTTCTTCAGTCGCACCCAAACTGGTCGCATGGTGCACCTGACGACGAATTGCGTAACCTACTTCAGTCTCACCTGCACAGAACTCGAAGGATAGATGACCTTGCTTGCTTAGGATGGGGGCCAATCAAACTCCCACCCAAGTATAAAAACAGTTTGTGTGTTACATTTTGTTTTTTCCGTAGAACAGATGAATCTGCATCGCTGTTCCTCATTCTGTTCGAAACAGCTGTTTAACTCATCTAGCGTGTTTAGAATCTTGTTACGCTTTTGGCATTTTTTCGTCTGTTCATACCGGAGATGTGTGTAAGCCAGTCGAACGGTGAAACGTGTCGGTAAACGTAGCGTGAGTTCATCCGTTGGAAATCTTTGGGTGCTTTGACGTTGAAACATCGTTCGGTCGACTTGATTTCTGCACGTGATTGTTATTGCGGGAAGTGGGCGAGATATCACTGTCTGGTATGGTCAGATGAATTTTGCTGCTGTCAAAAATTAAAGCTTAATGCAATGAGAAAGTGGCTGTCCTGTTTTTTTATCTTGTTTTTCAAATCCCCCTGATTCGGGTTGAGACTTTTTGGACATTTCTCCACTGCTGAATATCACTCTGTTCCATTCAAAAGTTGTGTGTAGAATGAATAAATAAATAAATAAATAAATAAATAAATAAATAAATAAAATAACCGTTCAGCTGCAACACCCTTTCGGTGCCCAGTTTCATTCCACCTGAGGGGACGACTGAGATACCGTCAGGTTGTCCAAGTCTAGAGAGGTGCAGTCCAGATGCGGAGGTTGGCTTTAAATCACGGATCTTCCAGTCACTGAGCTGGTACCTTACCCACTGAGCTATTTCGATCTCAAATATGAGGGAAAGAAGCACAGCTGATGCTCGGTACCCCATCAGCATTGAAGTAGTCCTTCACTGAGCTGGTACCTTACCCACTGAGCTACTTCGATCTCAAATATGAGGGGAAGAAGCACAGCTGATGCTCGGTACCCCGTCAGCATTACGGCCTGTCTTGCCTTCATCTTCGCAGATATTTTTGCCGGCAGTTTGTGGTTGTATGTGAATCAGATAAACGATGGGAACCATATCCAGATAAACTGGCCTTTTTCATCACGATTTCATCACGATCCACTCTTGGATGCGGAGCGTAAATCACCGTCCCGTAATGGCGGTGGCCGTTAACCAATAACCTATCTGTTAAGGCTTTGGGATTCCCTCTTATCGACCGTGTCCACTGAGAGTATGAAACAGTGTTCAAAGCAGTCTGAAATGAATTTGAGGCGAGATGGCTCGAGTGATTAAAACGCGAATTACTGACCGGGAAGGTCGGTGGTTCGAACCCGACCTCTGTCTCTCGACTTCCCTGTCTAGGCTTGGGCGACCTGGCGGTATCCCAGCCCTTCTTGTGACATGGCAGTTAGGCACCGAAAGGTTGCTACATCTGAACGATCGTATCGAAATGAAATTCATGAATCCAGTGAGCTAGGGGCTCAAGCCCATTCCTCTTGAGTTGACTGGGAGCTAAAACTGTCGAGAAACTGTACAGCCTTGTGAAAAAGATTCGCTCACCACAAACGGAAACTAACCGTAAAACAGAAATTGAAACTATCCATGGAGACGTAATTCGGCGAGCGTCGAACGAGATTAACAGATATTGACAGTTGCTGGTTTTGTTGAATAACACTCAGTTCCTTCTTTGCAGATGCAGCCGGAGACGAAAATACAGACGAGCAATCCGTTGACCAATGTGCGATTGACAGCCCCCCACCCAACCAAACGATGGCGGCAGAAAATAGCCCGGATCAACCGGCGACGGCCGATGCATGTGACCAGACTGAATGCAACGAAGTGATCTTAGATACAAACGAGACTTGATCCAATTCCCCATCCGAACTTTTACGCAATAGTGTCCCAGTTAATCTGCTAAGCAGTCATGTAGTTTTGTAGCTCAAGCTGCGTAATATCTATCCAACACAGTTTTGTCTGCCCGTTCGTCATCGGCTATTCCGTGCATTTTATTCGCTCTGCGCGAAGCCTGCTTGCTGAACTCAGAGCATCCAGTATTTTGTACAGACATGTGATCATTATTTGAGTTTCTCATCTTTAAAATGGATCACCTGATGTCCAACTTCCTTTTAATCACCTGACTTCAGATCATGCATTACGTGCGTATTTCTTTCATCTTCATTGTCAGCTACTCAAGTCTCTTTTACTGTTTTCTTTTTTTAGATACGAACTGTTTCATTTCTTTTTGTCGTGTGCAATAACGAAACTATGTAGATTCAAGTTGAAATAGTTTATCTCTGCCTATCTATATACTGACTGATGTCAATCTAACTTCCTTTAATCTGTCATCGTTACCCATGCGGATCCGTATGCACCGGAGTTGAACTCAGCCGTGTGAACGCGGCTACAGGGCACAACATGCTACCAGGTCCATCCATTTTCCTCGATTTCCCGTCTCCTGTTCAACTAGGAGGATTTAAGCTTTTAACGGGCCACCATCCTTCATACCACGAGGATGCTAAACGCCACTGGGACCGGTCGAACTTAAGGTTGAAAATCGATAGTCACGATAACGAAAGGCCCATCCGTATCGGAAACGAATGGCGTCACACAAAGTTCAATTTCTCCAGAGAACACTGAGAATCCTGTTAAGTACTCGCTTCGGATGGAGGTCTAGCCGTGTTACGACCTGCTCTCCCGAAAACGATGCAAAAAGGGGTGCGTTGACCGTTCTCACGTAAGAAGCGTCTGATGAAGTTTCCTTCCTGCAAAATGCCCTATGTTGTCATCCATTCATTCAAGTAACTGAAATGAAAAAAACTAAGCAACTTCTGGATGGCACTGTTCCAGTGCTGCGCGTTATTCTCTCACATCCGTGCCTCTCTGAGGTATGGTTTGCTGAACTAACCTAGTGCCGCAACTGCGCGCTCATCAGCTCAGTGTATTGCAGATCTTCTTGTGTTTTAGCCACGGACGACCCGAGAACATGCGTTCGTTATACTTAGTGGAGGCAGTGCAAAAAATGACAGCTAGTCAATATTGGTGACGTTCTTGTAGTCGGCTTCGTTCCGAAATGCCTGATCGATTGCCTGGAGATATAGACACCTCGGCATGCTTGCTACAGGTCCCTCCATCGTTCCCTCTTTTATCTTCAAGGCTGGATAGTCTTTGTGTATGCACGGCCGTGAAGCATTAGCGCCAACGTTGATATGCCTAGTCCGATGATCGGACTACTTGATATGGAGCTCTCTGGGTGTTTCCTTCCAAACAGTCGTGCCCAGTAAGAATGCCATTTTTAGAACTTCGAAGCTCATTTAATCAGAAGGTGGACTTTGGAGGGCCCCATAAAACATCAATCTTCGAATGCGTCTTGTCAGTCTTGGATGTTCGGATGACATTGATGTTGTTTTTAAGAGGAATCGCATGGTTAACCAATCATCCCAACTCTCGGTACGCCTTTCACTCCTACAGAACACCATGCGGAGTTCAGAATTTCAACTAGCTTTTACTATTTAGGGACAGGTAGTGGAGAGTGCGGGACATTTACGTGACTCGGAAGCCGCATTAACTCATATGGAACCATGACAAGTGAAGTCAGCACACGATCCCCAAACTAGATTAGCAGATGGAATTAACGAATAATGTGACATCTAAATTTGAACGCATTCAATCACAAGCGAGCTGTCTTTCATAGACTCGCACCAAGCTTTTGTCACACAGGTGACAGAAAACACACCAAGATTAAGGGGAGCAGGACCGCATCTCAGTACATCAAACCCTTCCAACTTGAGAGTACTTATGTACGAGTGTGTTAGCAGATGGAATTAACGAATAATGTGACATCTAAATTTGAACGCATTCAATCACAAGCGAGCTGTCTTTCATAGACTCGCACCAAGCTTTTGTCACACAGGTGACAGAAAACACACCAAGATTAAGGGGAGCAGGACCGCATCTCAGTACATCAAACCCTTCCAACTTGGGAGTACTTATGTACGAGTGTGACCCACGAACCCTTAGAATGATTAATCCATCTCTCCAAAATGGCACCCCTCTCGCCTCGAAGGCACAACTCATCAGTGCGCTTGGGACCTTGGAGCGTCAAACATCTCGCATCTGGCCTAAGGACAGCTGTGCCATCAGCATATCACAAACTCCAACCAAGAGCTGTCTCACTTGACGGCACATCAACCGGGCGGATGATAGCCGTTGATTCAGGGGGCGCTTACTCAAGTCGGGATATCTCGACGTCGCGTGGAATGCCTTTTTCAACTGCACAACCCAACGAGGAGCAGTGAACGGTTATGGCGTACCATAAACTCAAAGGTAATACCCTGACTCAACCCCAGTCAACACCAATAAGAAGCTTTGTTACAGTTTTGCTGTACGTTCGCAGCAAACAATACTTGTGTAGTTATGTTCTTTGACATGTAATATGGGATTCGGAGAAGATTCAGAGTGCGAATTCCCATGGAAAGGAAGATCGGTCGTCCAAAGTCACTTGATAGATGTAGCTTGCTGTGTCTAGACTTCGCAAACGCACACCACTGTCGACAACCCCACGACAAGTGTGAGGATCTTCTGCTGAACTGTTTTACCAGAGACACCGTTAGATTGTCTAGCTTAATGGTGAAATGAAGAAGGGCTTCGCTGCGGAGTTGTTTATCGGAAAACACCAAATGAACTGTTAGTATTGATTGGACAGGGGAGCGACTCTCATATGCATCTTGTTTACAAAACTGAATATCCATCCCCTCCTTGAACACGTCTTCCTGAAATTTCCTGGATATCCATTGACCGTTAATCCAATCCGAGCAAATGCTACAAAGCGACCCTACAAATTCCGTGATAGATCTCACTTTTCGAAAGACGTGAAGCGGATTTACGAGAAAACATACTACTCACATGCCTCATCAATAGTGTACACCGTTACTGTACGTTCACAGCTAACAACACTTGTGTAGTTATGTTCGTTGACATGTAATATGGGATTCGGAGAAGATTCAGAGTGCGAATCCCCATGGAAAGAAAGATCGGTCGTCCAAAGTCACTTGACAGATGTAGCTTGCTGTTCATACTGTGTGCCTAGACTTCACCCCCGCACACGACAAACGTGGGGATCTTCTGCTGAACTCTCCTACCAGAGACACCGTTAAATTGTCTAGTTTATTGGTAGCTTGTACGCCCAAGTTACATGGATTTGATCAGCCGAGCTAGACGAACATGTAGAACTACAGCTGCTGGCCTTTATGCCGTCTATTTGTTCAGGTCTTGCATGGTGACTGCGGAAAGGACAACCAGACTCACACCTAGCAATGAACATTCTTCACACAGCCCTCATAGAAATATCTTTTACGGGACGACAGTAGCCCGACCTCGCTACCCATAACACCGGATCCCTCCCCTGTCCACCGTAAATAGGAGTGAAATTTCGAACTTGAATCCTTTCAACGGGGTCAACTTTCCGGGCTAAATCAGAAAAATAAATTGCGCCACATCACGGCAGTAGAAGCTGGCCTAGTTATCATTATCATCATCATCATCGGCAGCATGACACCAGCGCTTCACTGCTGTATGCCTAGTTGTGAGGAGTTCCGATGCTAAATGTGGCTCTATCGGTTACCTGTGGCACGTAACAGTGGTTCCGAAAACAAGGTAGACTTTCAGGTATACCACAATCGATTGAATTGCGCCAAAACTCTTGTGAACCTGTACATATTTCGCCCATTGTAGATTCCAAAAGGTTCCGACCACTTTCCCGGCTCTACTATGTAGTCACACACACACACACACACACACACACACACACACACAGAACAGCCATTCTCGAAGAACTGCTGCCTAAATTGCCTTTAAAGGTTCTCTTCTGGAACCCTGTACTGTTATCTAGCCCACTGATTCACTCACTCACTCACCCACCCACCGTCCAAGGAATCAAAGATCAAATCTCGAGAGACATCCAAGGATAAGGAGTGCATGATTACAGCGCGAGTCAATACAGTAGATAAGCATGCAAAAGCTAGGATTGGTGCGAAACAACAGACAAAAACAGGTGACAGTGTAAGCATTCGAAAGATGCGCAAGCCAATGAAGGAAAACGGGGTTTACTAATAACTGTTGTGTGTGTGTGTGATCAGAATGAAGGAAGGCCTAGCATAGAATGGGAGTAAGTAAGGAATGGATGAGATGAGTGGGAACTAACAAGCTGGAAGTCCGTAATTTGGTTGATGGTCTATTTCTTCAGTCCTGGAATCTTCTTCAACAGTGGTTCGATCCTGCAAATGCAAAAGACAGTTGATTAAACACTACTCACACTACTCATAAGGTTGCTGAAAACGCTTCGACAGCCCACGACCGGTTTCGACTCATCAGGTAAGCACAGTTCCCGAGTTTCCGTCAATCCTATGTTCTACTGAAGCCCAAATTAGGCAGATTTCGACAAATACTCACTTTCACACGAATTCGCTTTTGACAGGAGACGCAAGTGAACCCAGTGAATTCACTTTAACAGTGAACAGGAGGTGGTTGCATAAGTCATATGCATTAGAACGGTGGTCACCCGGGATACCCGAACTACTCGACATGCAGTAAATGCCCATCAAGGGAGAGGATTTTAGCTAACGGTGGAATTTCTCACATGAAATATCTCATCTCCAAGGTTCGTGTACACGTATTCGTGCATATTGACATCCCCAGTAACCCGACAATGCCTTCAGCAGTGCAGGCGTTGTTCTAGAATCCTTTAGATAGTGCTAGAATCACAACGGGTGTACACAAATGATCGGCGTAAAAGCGTTACTTGGCCCGTAAAACCCGCCAGTTGACTAAACTACAGGAGGGTGACGAGGTATGGGTCCAAAGTGCCCCTGAAGACCAAGACTGCTGGCGACGGGAGAAGTGATAAGGAGGCTTGACTACTATTTACACGACGTGGAGGTAGACGGCATAAGCAAGCGAGGAAACAGGGTTTAGTTCATAAAGGACGAGGGGGAGACAGCGAACTCCGCAGAGCACATTGGAAGAAGCTTCTAAAACGCCGAAACAGTACTCCAAACTATAGACAGTCGGATAAGTTCTGGTGTGCATGTATTGTGAGAAAACAGGACAATGAGATGAATGTACATTCACCCGTAGATGGTCGTAGAGTACCCTGAAAGTCACGCAAGACCGAATTATAAGGTGACCCGTTCCATCAATGTCTAAACTGTCGCATTTGGAACACTGCCGTTTGACCCTGCAGTTTAATATTACCCAACTTTTCCAGTTGGGTTAACAAGCGACATAGCGAAGTCCCACTTACCGCAACAAACCAACCATAGCCCTGTGTGACTACAAGATGCCTAGGCTGTTTCGAAAGCGGTACCAAAAAACGAGATAGGGCGCAATCAACACACACTGAAGTACCGATCATTCAGAAAGTGCAAGCCCACAGAACGAATGAGTGCCACGAACTTAATGTATCTGTTTGACTTTGGAAGTAACTGTGTTGCTATGATGCGCACGGCCTCTTTTCAGGGTACAGTCGATAATGCATGTGGGCCGAGTCAAGTAAATGGTTCTATCGAGAGAGTAGCTGGCGCCAAGCGGTCCTTTAGTGACGGGCGATATATCTGAACTGTCGAAGGGCATATATGTACACTCCGCTGCAGAGAGTTGAGACACTGTACGAAGTACAAACACCAGTACACCCCAGTACGTAGCCCACACCGATTGGTATCAACAATCATTCCAAATTTTGGATGTCCGCCAAAAGGTCAGCGGATCCCAGAACCGCGCGCGACGATCTAAAAATAGATGCGTGAAAATGGTCTGAGGCTCTACGCGCCCGGATTGTGTCACGTATTCGGTAAGCTAGGAGTATCTAATGTCACCGGGTGGTTTTTGGAGACGGATTTCGTGCGGTGCACTGTGCACCGTTACGGGGATGCGGTCAGAATTTGAGTCCATATCGCTCTTCTGATAAGTCATTTTGCTGTCTTCATTCGGCATCAGTTTGGCTTTCATTACAGGCCGTCACTAATGCGCGTGCCCGGTTGTACCGTGACTTCAGCTCCGGTAGCCTGGCGTCCGAAGCACCCACCACTATTGAGTCAATCCACGCTGAAGCCATTCTTACTTGAGTACTACGCAACGATGAGTCTCAGTATAAACGAAACTCGGGTAGGGGGGATCGTCAGTCGCTATCTCAGGGCGTAGGAAGTGTTCAAACGAGAGCAATGTGCACATAGGTGTCGGTGTCTCGCCCAGTGTCATCTGCCAGTTCAGCGTAGCGCGGTCAGAAATCGATGTTCCCAAAACTGTACAAGGTAAGCGAAGAGCCCTTGGAACGGACTAGAACCCGCCACTAGCCAACCAACGGCCGAGTGTTCCACCAAATCAGTTACCGCGCACACTTAGCTACATGGCACATATGCACTTGCGTTTTTACATCGAGTCCGCCTAATGGGTTGACAGTTGATATTTGTCATCTATTCGGCAGATAAGCAAAAGGTCGCGGGTTCGACTAGCGTCCAACGCTTTCTTTTCGTGTGGGTTGTATGTTGTGTTCAAACTCTTCCAAAGCCCATTTCTTCAACATTAACTCTCAAGAACTGTGTTTTTGAAATGGGCGCACCGTTTTGACCAAGTGATACGAAGGAACTAAAAAAATAGCGTGGAAACGGCAAAACACAAAGTGTTATCCACTCAATGGCTAGGACAATGTTAGCCACGACTTCCACACAACAGCGATTCATCGCCATCCGGTTCCACAACAAACTTTTGGAATCCCTTTGTTGATTTCTGGATTACAAAGCTGTATAGGTTCACCGTGCAACTTCAGTTCAGATCACGTGCTGAAAGATCGAGAAGAATTACAAACCTACCGCACCAAAAATGCACACGAAGGAAACATTCGGGGATGGTGTTCGAACCCTCGCACGTCAGATTATCTGGATGAGTTACGTTCCTTTATTCAACTGCAGAACCCCTTCAGTGCCACGCCACCCAAAGGAGGCACGAAAGCCAAAATACTGCGAGTTTGTCCAGGCCTAGAAAAGAGCAGTCGAGATGCAGAGGTTGGGTGCGAACCATGGACATTGTGGTCGACTGAGCTATGATATCAAACTCGCTATATTCCAGCTACGGGTGACGAATTTGCACGCACACACTGGTAGTTCGTTGCCAGAAACTTGGTCTGTCTGGGCGAGAAAAAGGCAACAGCCAGTCGGTCGTTGACAAGTCGTGAAAAGCATTTCCACTTGAGTCGCGACTACATATTCCGCTTGGTGGCCGACAACCTCCATTTTCCGCTCCAGCCTACCAAGTGCTACAATCTCACATTGCATGCCTGAGTGCCGTCTTGTGTGTAGCCAAATCGTGACAAACAACAACGTTGTTTACGCCAGAGGTCTAACTCCAGACGCCCAGTCGCTGCCATCGGCTTGTAGAGTTGTATCCAGTGGAGTGGAGTGGGCGCCCTAAAGTCATTCATTCTTGTAAGGAAAGGGGCTTCTCCTTCAGATAGTCCACAGCTGTGCTCCGAGAGATGAGATAGCCTCCATCCCAATGTTGGTCCCTGTTTAGGGGCAGAGTCTATAGTGAAATATTAACTCGATCATGTTGCACAGGACTATGGCCTGTGCGCCTTTCCCTGTACCAGTCAACGATGAACGGGATGTTCAATTTCTGGAAAACGTGGAGTAGAAGAGACGTGTGTGCACTACATATCGTTTGGACGACAACTCCGACAGGTAACCGTCGTACTATTAAGATAGCACACGAAGACTCTACTATGACCAATGTGAACATGGACGTCAGAAAATTTACCTTTTTCTGGGGTAGAAAGAGAAGAGAGGAGCCAAGTGGGAATAGTTCTAATGCTCAGGTGTTCCGATCTCACTCCCCGTCTCGCAAGATGGCAAGACGGCGCAAGTTGTTAGAGCGTGATTTTACTGACTGGAAGGTCCGTGGTTCGAACCCGACCTCTGCCTCTCGACTTTCCCTGTCTAGGCTTGGACAACCTGGCAGCATCCCAGCCCTCGTACAACCTTCGGGCGGCATGGCAGCTAGACAGCTGAACGAACCACAAGATCTCTGCCAATGTAGACATTGGGAGACACGTCAACGAACTACGGATGAACGACCGGAAACTGGGCTTCTACGGATATGCTTTATACATCGTAATGGCCATAACTCACAAAATGATGGACTGTTTATCGAGTACGACTGACTATTCAACGCCATGTAGCTACTTACACTCAAAACTCAAAATTCCTCACATGATTTCGGACCTGGTTGAAGTCTTTACAAATCGTCGCCTTCAAAAAGGCAACAGTCGATAACCAAGTGGGTCTAACTGGTTACCGGAGCTAATTCTAAGGTAAAAATCGTTCGGCTGTAGCACCCTTTCGGTGCTTAACTGCCATGCCACACGAAAGATAAAGATAACCAGTCAGCTGTAACACCCTTTCGGTGCCTAGCTGCCAGGTTGCTCAAACCTAGACAGAGGAAGTCGAGAGGCATAACTCGGGTTCGAACCACGGACCTTTCGGTCATTAAATTCGCGCTCTTAACCACTTGGGCCATCTCGCCCCCAAGCTAGCAAACATAGTGAAGCCCAAAAGGTGAAGCTGTCAGGCATGGGGATCCAAAAGGATTCTTGAACTGCACGAAGAACTGCAAGTTTAAAACACTGACTTACTTTTTTTCCAAGTCCTTCGCGCGTCGTTTCAGGTTGTCGTATAGTGAATCGAATTGTTTCTGTAAAAAAGAATGTAAAAAACAGAATCGGCGGTGGTCTGAAACGGAAAAGTGTTGTCTGCATTTTTATGTGGCTAAATCAGACAAGTAAACTCTTTCTGTACACAGGTAGGTCGGAATGGGAAACGACTGGGATGCAAGTGAAAGAAAAAATCGAAATATTCGTTTCCTAGCTCCAAAATAAGCAACCGGATGAAAGTGTCAAAATGGACGGGAAGGAATGGGGTAAAAATCAAATAACGCAACGTCGAATATGTAATTTCTACACAGAGTAAACGACGATAACAACCGTTTCAGAAGGGCTTGGTAAACAATCGGGAGTTTTTTTATTTGGGCAACGTTTCGCTTTTGACACAAAAACTTCACCAGGCCACGTGAACAGGTCACCAAGTTGGCCTGGTTTTACGGCAGACGGGGAACCAGTCCTCCTCAGATTATTACACTAGACCAATGTTGAGTGTCATTTAACGGCTATCGACAGCTGATGTGGTTGCCAAAATCTTGATTTGCTGGGTTGGAGGAGTTTCAAATTAATTCCGATGGGCTTTTGTTCCTTAATCTCCAACTTTGGGCTGCTTCAATGGACGATGCACCTCGGGTACCACTGGCTTGTGAGTGTTGCGAGGATTTAGTTGGAGGGAGGAGAGATGGGTGAGGTTAAGTGGAATACAGATGATCAATACTCTTCCTTCTGATGGCCAGATGGTCCAAGTGATTAGAGCGCGAATTTACTGACCGGAAGGTCTGTGGTTCGAAACCGACCTCTACCTCTCGATTTCCCTGTCTAGGCTTGGGCAACCTGGCAGTATCCCAGCCCTCGTGCTGCCTTCTGTTGGCATGGCAGTTAGGCGCCGAAAGAGTGCTACAGCTGAATGATTTTGTACGGCAGTGAAGCATCGGTATTGAACACTGATATCATGCTGTCGATGATGATGATAGGGACGTGTAGGCTCGATTGACCCAAGACAGTTATCCACGTGCTTGCCAGTTTCATGACTTCTATTAACACTGGGAGGCTTGTTTACCAAGCCTTTCTCAATCGATTCCAAACTTTTTCCCATTGATTCAAAACAATTGTTGCCATCCAGCTGTACAGTTCTGCCTAGCCGCTATGCCAACCGAGCGAAGCACGAGGGCTGAGATGCTGCCAGATTGCCCAAGCGCAGTCGAGATGGATTCGGATCAAGGACCTTCTGAGCAGCCAGCCGGGTCGTAACCACCGAGGCATCTTGAGCTCATGCAGATGTCAGTGATGACAAGCAACTCTAGATGGTCGCCGAGCTAGGAAGAACAGTTCACCACCAACAGAAGCGACATTTCCAATGCGCTGTTGTTGTGAAACGAAATGGTGCGGTGTGTGTTACTACTGATGCATTTTAAAAGCGCAGCCATTAAAATTCTCTACAAAGGCAAATCCATGCTGGAACCAGAATGGAGCCGGCTGGTGGCACAACTAGTGTGGACGCTGGCTTATTGTAACCAGATTCCGGAATGAAGCCAAGTCTATCCGGTGGTCGGCGTCCAGTGGCAAACAAGCGGTCCGGACACAATCACAGTCCAATATGAGATTAGTGCAATTCTCCGGTTGGAACGGTGCTTGTTCGAAGAAAGATACACTGAATACTGCTCGAGTATAATGCTGCCATTCCACGTTTCTCGTGATCAAGTCTGTTCGCTGGGTGTTCTTATCCAAGCGGTTTGTCAATTTTCTCGTTTCTGATCTAACATGTTTGTAATTGAAGGCCCATCTGGAATAACCTGTGCACTGTACCGATCCGTTAATGAGACTGGGGGGAAAACAGATCGAAACGATTTCTCCACACCAGTATTCAGCTACTTGAGTCACCCGTTTTCCATCATTTTCTCTCTGCATCGGAAATACAAGTTGCCAATTGTTCCCTGAATTCATTATCAATTTGGACGAATGGCGGGAAGTAATGCGTATGCGTGCTAAGAGGTGCGACCTGGACGATCAAAAATGCTTCGTTCGCTAGTGAAATCACAATAGTTTGTTGAGTTCTGATTATCAGGGAAGACAAACACTAGACTGTTAAACCAGGATGATTACCGATCGATCAACTTTCATCGCCTTTTTGTGGGTAGTAGCCATGAAGAGCGACAAATCAAAAAGGCAACGGAATATCTGACAGCCAGATTGTCCTTGACACAGACATGGACGTGAGCGTTTTCGAAAAAAAACATGTGGGGCAGAAAAGACTTATTTTGATGCGTGCGTACTTTGGCTGGCTAGAAAGACCGGTGAGAATACCATAAAATAACTGGTGATAGTTTACTCGCCCGGAAAATGTGACAACCTGGCGCTGGGCAGTTACTTCTGGCATTCAACTACCGGCGAAAGGAAGAAGGCCTTCACTACGGAGAGTTACTTATTAGAAAATGCTAACTGAACAGTTACAGACTATTGGACAGGGAGGCAAAACTCTCGTATGCATCTTGTTTACAAAAACTGAATATCCATCTTCTACTTGAACGCGTCTTTCTGAACTTTCCTGGATACTCATTGACTGTTGCTCAAATCCAAGCAAATGCTACGAAGCGATTCCGCCAATTCCGCAATAGATCTCCCTTTTCAAGAAACGCAAAGCGAATTTACAAGAAAACATACTACTCGCATGCCTCCCCCATCAGTAGTATCACCGTTACACCGGGTCACCATGTGGCCTTCAGCAATAAGCAGGGGAATATAAAATGCTTGGAGCTGTGCTCGATGCCGACTGCACTTTCTCGGCAGGAGTGAACCCACATACAGTTAAAGGCTGTTTCTTCGAGTTCAGGAAAAAGTCGTCAAAAGTTTAGAAAAAAAATTGGGTAACAGTTTAAAACAAACCACAGACTACCTATCAAGAGCTCCACGTCGGTGATGGACATGAAAATATCACGCTGCACATACCTGGTAGAGGTTATAAATCTTCGGCAAAGTGAATAGAAGGACGAAACCTGCAGATGGAGAGTAAGACAATGGTTGAACGAACGCCATCGAGAGTATGGCCACGAATACTGTCAAGTTCTTCTGTAGGGTAACTATAATGTGTTGCAGAGTGACACAAACAAATCTGTCCACATAAAGTTGCAAAATGTCCGAGCCCATCAAGCTCCCGGCATCTTCTGAGAGATGGTACCGCAGATATTACTCATTGTCTACGAAACAGCTTCATTTTCGAGTTTGCGTGCACAAAAATGGACTCATTTTCTTCCGCGCTGACTACACTACTCTAGCCCTCCCACCGACTGCGATGTGGATGGAAGTGTCACGACATGGATGAACACTATGCGCCAGTACCATATGTGTCACTCGTGGCCAATCGATAGCGGGTAGGCAGTCTGATACACACTACCATGTGTTCTGATCGATCAGTTAGCTTGGTGCACACCAAACAGAGGGCGCTGGCTGTTGGGCATTACTTGGATGGCACAGACGGGTAAAGAAGAGAGTAAAACCACAACGGACGAATACAGTACGAAGTTTGACCACATTCAATGACCGCCGTCCTACATTTAATCATGACCGTGAGCAAAAGAGAACGTAAGTGGTGCTATGAACGCCGTAATAAAAAAAATCGTCCAGCTGTAGCACCCTTTCGGTGCCTAACTGCCATGCCACACGAACGAGGCACAAGGGCTGGGATACTGCCACCTCGCTCAAGCCTAGACATGGGAAGTCGAGAGATAGAGGTCAGGTTCGAACCACGGACCTTCCGGTCAGTAACCACTTGGGCCATCTTGCCGTAAACCCGATCTCAGTTTGGGGGTTGAAGATCGAGAGCGACGGCGGGGTGAACGTCAGTTATGCGGCAAACTTATCAGGTAGTAGTCAAGGTAATGGTAGAAAACGAGTTGAACGACACCTTCTCTAAATCCAAGTACAATTATTGTCCAGAATGGTTCACTCGACAACGAATTTTCCTGCGTCTAAACTACACGGTATTGCCGTTCCAAAAAAAGGCTACCCGATATAGCAATTGAAAAGCATTTCTCTTTACAATGTGAGAATGCCGGCAGAGACCTTAGGTGCGGTTGGTATCACGCGGTGTAATAGTCATACCGGACAACCAGCTAATTTTTCGAGCATGCTAGTGAAAAAAGCGTCAGAACAACAGATAGTTTCCACAGGGACTTGCGCGAAATAACGATACAAGTGTAGAACAGGACACAGAGATGGTCAAATTTAGAGTGCGAATTCATTGATCGGAAGGTCCGTGGTTCGAACCTGACCTCTGCCTCTAGACTTCCTCTGTCTAGGCCTGGGCAACTTGACTGTATCCTCGTGCTTCCTTCTGGTGGCATGGCAGTTACGAACCGAAAGGGTGTTACGGCTGAATGAATTTTTTAACTACCCTTGCAGATACAGTGGATACTTAATGATCTCCAGGTTCCCCCGACCACCCACACTAGAACAAGCACGTACTGCAACGGGACAAAATTGATAACCTATCGTCACACGGGCAATGTGATAGGACAAACCTCAGGGAGCCTTCCTGCGGTAATCGTGAGGTGACGAATGCGCCAATTTTTCGCGATATCAAACAGATTTAGGTTGGACACGTTGAGTGGATTACCTCGTCTTAGTCACAAGACTTAGCACAATACTTGTGTGAATCTGAAGATAGTAACACGCATATATTTTCATCATCATTGTCACTAGCTGCGCATTGCAGGCGGGAGATGATAAATTGGTGCATAAATTCAGCACTGTCAGTAGGCTGTCAGGTGGGGAATTGGGAAGAGAGCTACGCATTGAAGGCAATAGCTTGGATGCATGAGCGCCATTGAGGGCACAACCAAGCCATGTCTGACAATGTCCCTAACCATTGATGTGGCCCGGCTCGGGGTTCCCATCGAGAAAGACGGCAATGATCAGCGTAGCTCAGTTTGTTGGCAGTGACTTTTATACTTCGTTGCCAAGTCACTCTTTGACCGCCTCTAGCTCTCTTTCACCCTTCATGTGGTTGTGCGAAAAGAGCCCTTCGAGGAAGTCGGTCGACTGGCATACGCAGCACGTGACCAAGCCAGCACAACCTATGCAATGTGATCAGTTCATCTATGGAGGATGAGTTATTTCTCCCGAATACCAATCGACGTACTTCAGTATTGCTGATCCGATGCTCTCACTAGATTCGGGTAATGCTCCGAAAACATCGCTGCCTACAAACATTAAACAAAATAACACCTTTCTAAATCCACGAGATCTTTTCTACACAGGAGCTTTTAACGTCCGTACTCTATGCATATATTCTAGCTACAACACACACCGAGTAATATGAACAGGTAAGCTGGGAACTAAAGAGATCACTAGTGATGAACCGTTTCAGTTGGAACAACAAACGTCCAAGAGGAACGAGTTGATTTTAGGTCACGTCGCAGTTTGACCGTGAAAATACAAGCCTCAGCGATTCAACAGAGCCAGATCAACTGACTACCCATCATGACTTCTGACGAGAGAAACTTAAACAAAAAATAGTATCAGATCTATCCGTGCTTCCTATTTCTTGAAATCGGGTGGTTTACCGGCACGAAAGTAAGGTAGGAAATGGAGATACGTCGTCATAGAGATTTCAACCTGAAAATGAGCGTATTTGAGGGACCACCACTAAGAGACTGGACTTTATCCTGGTGTGGCGGTTTGTGCACCTCATCAACCCACTGAGCTATACTGGGGAATGTCCCCGTGACACTCACAGGGTCTCACGTACCAGGTTGGTCAATGGTTAGAGGTCTGACGAACACAGTCTATTGGTCATCCAGATTGGGGGTTGGACTTGTTCCGTAGGAATGGTAATGCATTTGCATTTCCCGCCAAACACCATTGCTTTGCGGTTAGGTTTTTGAGCCAAATGCTTTCGTTGAGAACCCAAATCGTCCTTCCTCCTAGGTGTGAGCGCCCTGACGGTATCCCAGCAAACGCACAATCATTATACCTACGTCTAACAACAAACTCATGCCACATCGGCCGTCGCGTGGTGCCATCAGCCGAGTCACCTTACTCGCTGAATACAGGCCACTGCTGACGACTCCCTTCTTTCTCTTCCACATACTTATTCCCTCCACTCCATTAATAACTCTCCCCTTGTAGGCTCAGTACTTGGGACCGATGGCTCCGTCCGTTTTGCATCAGTTTTGCGTGCAGCATCTGATGTGGCTGCCATTCGACGTCAATGGCGTTCTTGTTGTCAGTTGCTATCCCAATTGCCTCGATGATTGCTGGGGGTGGGGCCCGGGATGAAATGATTGTAGTAAGCTAGCACTAAGTCCCTTCCCTGTCCACCTGTGTTGAACACTGATGACATGCTGTCGATGGTGATGATGATGCTGATGATGGTAGTGATGACGATGATGTATTTTAAGGAGCGCGAAATTCTGAATCCTGAGGATGCTAACGGATAAACACTATCATTACTCACCAAAAGCAGTACCAGGAACCGTTTCTGTCTAGCCGCTGAGGCACTCGAGGAATATGTGCATGTCCAACCCGTCCAACAACAAGATTTAAGCGATCCGGAGTGAAAGCCGTTTGTCCACATCTGAGCCAAGCTCTGTGGCAAATTGGTTCCACCGACCACAGTTCTAATCAACAACAGCAACAGGTTAAACAGAGGATGGCTGTGCATTGAAAGTGCTGACTAGTACCTATTCAGAGGCCCATGAAGACATGACAATGTCACTGACCATGCGAAGAGGCAAGGCTGCCCGCAGTACAACACCTTATACGTACGGCCCCGCTGACAGCGAGGTCAAGTACGGCAGTCAGGATTGCGCTGCTTCGTTGTCAGACATTCAGAGTCATATCCTTGTGTACATTCACATAGAATACGGCCTAAAGAAAACAGTTTTTCAGAGCCGGTGCTCTTCCGTCAGAATGAACATGTAGTTCCCACAGTTTGATCTACAGAACGTGACTCCTCGTCTGTGATATGCGATCCACTTCTCCCTAGGTGGCATTCTCATCAAAACGGAAAAACTAGGTCACCGTAAAACATAAAACTGTCTGAAAATTGCTTTGCTTCTTACCCACAGTAATCAGAGTTAGGAGATTGAACCAACTTCCGAGCACTGTTAGGAGATACAGCAAGAAAACGAACTAAAAGGAGAAGGAAAATAACGTAGTCACATGTACTGTTAAGAATAGGTTATTTAAAACAATATCGATGAGAACGATAAAAGATATCCTCAAAAAATATCAAAAACTATCACAGCTATATTCGTAACGCACTACTCATAAGGCTGCTGAAAGTTTTTCAGTTGCCTAGGAACATCACAAACGAGAGATCCAGCCAGGTTCCAGGTGACTCCCTCGCAAAAACCAGATTTGTCTGCAGTTCACTATCTCAGCTAGCTGCACAAAGGACATGTCTAGGTGTTATGTCAAAATGCTTTATACAGTACTGTAGCTCCTCACTCATGAAGTGTTGTGTCTTGCTGAACGGTAGTGCAACTTTGTATCGGTCCCTTGGCTTCCTGCTCTGCCCACTATGGTATATCAAAAGGCACGGTAGCTCTACACAGCCCTTTATAGAGACAAAAGGAGAATCATTACATCTGTATTTAAAGGGTAGTCACAGAGTGTTCCACGAGGTCGTGAGGGTCCGTGAGGGGGTGAGAAGCGTCGAATCAAAGGTGCTTGATCCGGATTGGCTGGTATTCTAGCCAATCAGGGCATAGGTTCGTTGGGTCCGTGTCCTGCACGTAACACATCCGTCCAAATGATGTGATGTTCGGCTATTATGGACGGCTGGCCTCCGGACAAAAAGTACCTCCAGGAGGTACTAAAAGGTCTCACCCAGGAAATCTGCCTGCATGAACTACCCCAGTGGCCGTCCTAAACGAAAGATGCGTCACTCAGCGACAGTCGAGAGCGACAGTCAGCTGGAGCTAGCTCAGTGGTTGAGGAACCGGCGAGATAGCTCAAATGGTTAGAGCGCAAATTTACTGACCGGAAGATCCGTCGTTCGAACCCGACCTATGCCTCTCGACTTCTCCTGTCTAAGCTTGGGCAAAGTGGCAATATCCCAGCACTCGTGCTTCTTCCGGGCGGCACGGTAGCTAGGCACCGAAAGGCTGTTACAGCTGAACGACACTAAAGATGGGCACCAACTTGCTGACCAGAGGGCTTATGGCTGAAATCAACCTCAGCATGTCAGGCACTCCCGTCTAGACTTGAGCAATTTGGCAGTCTCTCAGCCCTCGAGCCTTCCTCAGGTGGAATGGAAGGTAGACACCAAAATGGTGTTACAGCCAGACGATTGTTGATTACTGTTATCGATGAGTGGAGGGGTGATAGTTGAATGGTGATGTAATTTATTGATATAAAGTTGAAATGTCAGGGGCCCACAACTCTTAATTCGTATCACGACTGTGTTGATACTTCCAAGTGCCTAGCTAAGCCAAGCTAAGCCTAGTCAAGATGAGATGCCGCGGCAGCGATGCTGCAGTAACTGTCAGGTGACAAATTCGGATCAACGGCGAAGTACGTCGATATCTTGAGGATTACTAGTGAGAACCAGGAAAAGCTCTTGTACGATTCTGAGAGGTTCACAGTGGAAAAAACAAAGCAACCTTCCTCCACGAATCTGCCATCCATCATCATCATCATCAATGACAGCAACATCAGTGTTGGCACTGATGCTTCACTGCCGTACAACCATGAAGTTCGTTTAGTTTATATATATATATATATAATTGCATTAAAAGCCCTACAGTGAAGAGAAGAGAAAAAGAGTGGGGGAGGGAGGGGCCCTA